GCTTGCACCTGGTCAAGCCTGGTGTGATCCTTGGCAACAACCCTGGCGGCACAGCCCCCATTCGTCGGCAGACGCTGCACGTGGACATGCAGCCTGGCAGAGGGATGTCGTTTGTTGCAATCGTGCCATTGGAGCAGGACATCGAGCTGTGGGTGAGCCCAGGGAGCCACCACACTGTGCAGGCGTTTGCTGCTCGGGCAGAGCCTGCTGCTGCAGCTGCTGCTGCAGCAGCTGATGATGCCGAAGCAGGTGATGCAAGCAGAGCCGACAGAAGCAGTGCGGCAGGTGGGGAGGCCAGCCCCCACAGCGGTCAGGGGGCGGGGCGGGGTGGCACGCCATCAGGCCTGTCCCTGGCGAACACATTGACCCTGCCGGACGAGACAGCCCTGAGGTTCGTGTCGCACCTCCCGAGTCACCCAGTCATGAGGATGCGGGGACAGCCTGGCCAGATCATTTTCCTGCATGGCAACACTGTGCATGCTGGGGCGGCTGGCAAGGCTGGCACCTGGAGCCCGCGCCTCCACTGGTATGTTCAGGGTGGTGATCTGGAAAATGAGACATACAGCCTGGCTTATGTCCACAAGGAGCTCCGTCGGCTGTTCCACCTCTCCTGAGCATTGAATATGCACACGGATGCCATTCCACAGTGGCCAGGCAGATTCCATCTGTGAGCGGCCAGCTTGTAGTTTGAGTGTGAGAGGGCGGGGTTAACCCCAAACGTTTGGGGCTGGTGAGACTGGAGTCCTGGCTGTGGCTGGTGAATGACCACAAACCCGCTGAGCTGGCGGTGTTGCCACCGTGCAGCTGGCCCATGAATGGGTTGAGACGTGCTCGTGTTCTGTCTAGCCTGGGACTTGATGGTCAGACCGGCAGGGTGGCGCCCTTGTGTGTGCCCCGGTGTGCTTGTGCTAGGTCTTTCCGTCAGTCCCTGTGAATCCTAAGCACAGTGTTGAGAGTGATCGAAGTGCACCAAACCCTAAAACCCCATGCAGGCACTTTATCTCACTAGATAAAAGACAGCGGAATCCATGCTCCAATAATCTGCTGACAATGGTCAGGCCGCTGGCGCCCTTGATATAAAGAAGCAACCC